GATTCCTCCTATTTGTATCAGGTTTGGAAGTTATCAGGCAAGGCCCAGCTGTGAAGCCAGGAAGGTTGTTGCTAGTGCTGGGTCTTTTATTGAAAGGTTTGGGGCTCCCTGACCCAGCTGCAACTTGTTTGAGAGATTTTAGCAAAGTCTGAATCTTGAGCAAGAACTAGCCATTTATATACAAAATCCACAGCACATAGGTTGGGTGGGAGTGCAAATTGGATAGGGCAGGGTCTGAGGGAATCACCATGGAGGAGCCAACAGAAGTGGCTGCCAGTCATCCCTGTGGCTGAAGAGGTCTTGGCATATGAACAATGACCCCTGCAAGTACCTCTGTCTGGGAGGAAACTAACCCAGAGTTCTTGCCCCAATGCCAGACAGTCCAGTCACTCCTCGTGTGTGTGTGTCCCCCAGAATCTCATCCTGGTGCTGGAGCTCAGAGAAAGCAGGACCTTGTAGGTTCAGTTTTGCACATGTCCTTTAAAGGAACAGCTGGGTCTCCAGCAGACTCCATGTCAACAAGTCCCAATTCCTACTGTTTTTTACAGCTCATAGTTTCAGGAACTTCTTTTCTCAGCTCTGGGACCCTGGGTCTGGTGTGGGATTGGGTCTCTTGCTCCTCACAGGTGGCCTACACAGAGAAGACCTCACATCCTGATTAAAAAAGCTGCACACAAGGGTACTGGTCCAGCCTCCCACCCCTCCTACTAGTCTCAGTGTGCTTTCTTCTTTTCTTCTCTAAGATTTCCATTCAGCCAGCTTTCAGGTGGTTCTGTATGAAGGTTGTTCTTTATTTTAGTTATAATTTGGATGTGGTTGTGGGAGACAGTGATTACAGGCATTTACCTACACTGCCACCTTGGTTCTCTCCTATCCATATTCTTTTTACATCATTATTTAACACTTCTATATTCAATTATAGGTATTTATACCTAACATTTCTAGGATAATTTTTTAACTGTTTTATTAAGAGTCCAAGTTAAGCATATATTAGGAAAAACATTAATTTTGTTCATTTCTCCATTTTTCTTGATCCATTTCCATGTATTATTTTCTCTATTATTAATCATTGCTTCAAATCAATACTACTAGAAATTCTTTACTAATCTTATATAATAAATTGATAATATGCAAATTGACTATCACACCCTCACACAAGATGGCCACCTCCATGTGGTCACAAGATGGCCATGCCCAAGTGGTCACAAGATGGCTCCTCTCATGTGGTCACAAGATGGCCGTGCCCATGCTGTCACAGGATGGCCACCTCATGTCATCACAAGATGGCCACCACAAGATGGCAGTTGGAGGCAATTGGGCTGGCAGGGGAGGGCAGTTGGGGGCAACAAGGCCTGTAGAGGAGGGAAGTTGCGGGGGTGGGGAGACCAGGCCTGCAGGGGAGGGCAGTTTGGGGGAGACCAGGCCTGCAGGGGATGACCAGGCTGGCAAGGGGGTGATTAGGGAGTGATCAGGCTGGCAGGCAGGGACCAGGCCTAAAGTGGCAGTTGGACATCCCCCAAGGGATCCCAGATTGAAGAGGGTATATGCTGGACTGAGGTACAACCCCCCAGTGGACTAATTTCATGCACCAGGCCCCTAGTCATTACATAATTAGTTACTCCTTAATTTAAGTAATGAAAACTAAGTATTTTGCTCCTGTGCATAATGCTAATAATAATTATATTTTATACTGTAGTTCTCAGAACTACATATAAAACACCTACCAGAGCCTGTAATTTAGTAACTACTCAACAATATAGAGGTGATATTTTTAAATCTTATTATTCAGCTTACCTAACTAGAGCATTTCAAGTAGAAACTCTCTTAAGAAGTAAGCTGTACTGTGTTTAAGAAGCTGTGTTACTTTGTAAAGACCCAATTTATAAAAAGAGCTTTATTGCACTATCTGGGGTTCAGAATTCAGAGACCAATGATAGGCATTCTATTAGATATAATGTGAAGTGATATTTCATAGACTAACTGAAGTAACAGAGAGACAGGTGATGTAACTTTAATCTACCTGGAAGTAGGAAGAAGTAGGAATGGAGACAAATATATGGTGACAGATGATGATTTGACTTTGGGTGGTGGGCACAAAAAACAATATACAGATCACGTATCACAGAAATGTACATGGGAAACCTATATAATCTTATTAACCAATGTCACCCTCAATAAATTTAATTTTAAAACATTAATCAACAGATGTTCATTATAAAAATATTTACAAAAACAGTTTCAACCCCAAATTCCCATTATAATCAATGGATACAAACCTCAAGAAATCATAATTAAATTAAAATAGTCATCACAAGTTGCGATTCTTTTTAAATTTTTCTGAAAATTGACAAAAAATGATGGAGGGTGGATATGATTTAAATAAAATCTATACAACTAAGATAAACATTAGCTAATGAAAACTTACGATAGATATCATCTATAATAATAAAAGGGTACTATGCTAATTAGTACCCTTCCTCATGTACCATTCCAGACATCCTTCCTGATGAAGCTGGGACCAGCTGGAAGCCATTCCGGGTCCCGGGTGTCTGTGGGCAACCCAAGAGAAGCCAGCCCAGGTCTTGGCTGTCTCCTGGCAGCTGCAGGAGGGGAAGTGGCCTGGGTCCTGGGTGCCTTCCAGCAGCCGGAGGAGGGAAGCTCACATCCTGGATGCTGGAGGGAAGCCGGAGCCAGCAGCCGGGGAAAGGAAGGCCTATTCTTCCATAAATTTCTGTGCATCAGGCCTCTAGTCCTATATAATAAAAACCTAATATGCTGTCCAGTTGTTCAGTTGTCCATTGAACCAATAAAAGCATAATATATAATAATAAAGGCATAATATGCTAATTAGACCAGACATCTTTTTGGGACAAAGGTGGGGCTATAGCCACAGGATCGAGGCAGCTGCCACGGCTGTGATAGAAGGATCCAGGGAGCTGCCGGTGGCTGCAACGGAGGGATCCAGGCAGCCACAGCTATGAAGGACTACTCTGGAATTCATATATATATATATATATATATATATATATATATATGTAATTGATTTTGTACAGAGAGGAAGAGAGAGGGATAGAGAGAAACATTGATGAGAGAGTCATCTATCAGCTGCCTCTTGCACACCCCCTACTGGGGATATGCCCGCAACCAAGGTACATGCCCTTGACCGGAATCGAACCCAGGACCTTTCAGTCCCCAAGCCGACGCTCTATCCATTGAGCCAAACCAGTTTCGGCTCTTGCAGGAATTTCATGCCTCAGGCCTCTAATGTGCCAATGATATACTAAGTCTGCTCAACAGCTCACTCTGACGTGCACTGATCACCAGGGGCAGATGCTCTGACTGGTAGGTTAGCTTGTTGCTGGGGTTCAGCTGATTGGGACTGAGCAGATGGGCCAGACATGCCCTGGATCCCTCCCACAGCTCTTCCCCCGAGCTGGCCTACCCCCAATGGGTCCCCATCAGGATGGGCCAGACAGGCCTTACCTATGTACAAATTTGTGCACAAGACCTCTAGTTATATATCCTTATGCTACTGAAAATAAGATTTTTCCAAAATTAAACTTGATTCAATCTCATTTTGTCTTTTCTGTTGTTTTAAGGCCCTTTTAGGCCTTAAAGACCAAATTCCCATATAAGTGGAGCTTTTCCATAATGAAAATATGACTAGATATTTTTAAGAGGTTAACATATTCAATTTCAAATTCATTAGGACCTAAATTAAAATTCTTGTGGTCACCTCTCAATAACTCTTTGTGTTTTCAAGTTACTTAAGCATTCTGATCCTAATTTGTCTTTTATGAAAAATAAATGTATAGTAAAACCTATCTCTTAAGTCATTACAAAGGCATTTTTTAAAGGCAGCGCCTCCATAAATCATGTTGGTCATTACCATTACTCTATTGCTTTTCCAAAAATATTTGCTGTTTAAATTCTAAGAAGTAAGAGCTGATGAATAGAAACTAAGTAAAGGCCTGTTGCAGGAAGATTCCTGCAAGTGGCCACTGCAGCCGCGCGCACCAGCCACCCCACCTGCCCTCTCTGCCCCTTCCACCCCACCCACCCTGCCTGGAGCTTTCTCTCTGGCAGCTGCCTTGCTTTCCCCTTTCACTCCCTCTTCCTTCTATGCTGTCTTCAGTCTTCACTCCATCTTTGTTGGGTTAATTTGCATACTCACTTTGGCTGTGGGTATAGCTAAGGTACAGTCAATTAGTATTTTTCTCATTTATTAGTGTAGACAGCTGGTTTAGCCAATGATCAAAGAGGCCTAAAATCATGTCAGCAAACATTAATACTAAGGTAATTTTATTAATAACCTCATTTAAACAAGCAACCATATAAAGAATTTGCACTATGAATACTTGCCACATACAAAGCTTCACCTTTCAACGTATCTTTTAAAAGTCACTTAAAACACATTACACAATTGACCTTTGCACCATATTAGCTGCAAAATATATAGTGGTTTGTGGTGAGTATAATAACTTTTTTCCATCCTGATCTGTGCCCCAGAAGGCTGGCCTTTATATAATTCATTCAGACATTCTTGTCTTTTGTATCAGATTTGGTTTGGTCAAGAACAGCCACTAGCAATGGATTTAAGAGAAAGTACAATAAAGCTGACATGACTGTCTTTCTTTACTAATGAACAGAGCTCCTGGTAGATGACTTTTTCTTATAGTTTTAACATTATCCAGGTTCCATTTAGAACTCTTTCACCTGCCCCTTTAGACCAAGAGATAGGATTTCCATCGTATTAATTGTGTGACAATTATCTAAACCTGGCCCCCAATTTGTAAATTGTCCCCTTATAAAGATGATCTCAATTATCCCAATTTGAGACTACCATCTATTTCTTTCTGGGACTCTGACTGGACACTGTGATCCACCCATCATAGTGGCACTGACTAAATAAGAGCAAATATTCCCCTCCCTTTAAGCTTTTGTTTATGGGCTCTGCTGCCCCTACTTGGTTTAGAAACAACACTGCACAATAAGAGAACTCAAAAAAGCACATCTAACTTTCTCAAGAATTTTCTAGTGAATGTCCTCTTAACTGCCCCCTTCACTTCATTGTTCCTTAGGCTGTAGATGATGGGGTTTAACATAGGAGTGATGACAGTGTAGGACAGTGACACTAATTTCTTGCTCTCTGGGGATTGGTTGGATTTGGGCCGTAGGTAGGTCAAGCTGGCTGTTCCATAGAAAAGGGATACCACAATAATGTGAGATAAACAAGTGGAGAATGCCTTCTGGCGACCAGTAGCTGAGGGCATCCTTAAGATGGTTGAGATAATACGGATGTAGGAGACCAAAATGAGAGAAAATGGAAGCATAATAAATATTAATGTGGAAGCAAGTGCTTGCATTTCATATCTGGTTGTATCCTGGGTGACTAGTTTCAATACCAAGGGACCATCACAAAAAAAGTGGTCTATCATGTTTGGCCCACAAAAAGGAAGGGCCATCATCCAAGCTGTCTGTAGCATGGAGACAGGAATACCAGACATCCAGCAGCCTACAGCCATCCACAAGCATAAAGACCTATTCATTATGACTGAATAACGAAGAGGGTTACAGATGGCCACAAAGCGATCATAAGCCATCACAGAAAGAAGGAAACATTCAGAGCTACCAAAGAAGAAGAAGAAGTACATCTGGGTACCACAGCCTACAAAAGAGATGATTTTCCTTGAGGATACCAGGTCTACCAGCATCTTTGGCATCATGACCAAGGTGAAACAGACTTCAAGAAGTGATAGGTTTCGGAGAAAGAAGTACATGGGTGTTTGAAGAGCAGAATCCACACTGGTAACTGTGACAATGAGGAAGTTTCCCAAAAAAGTGACTGTGTAGATGACCAGGAACAAAACAAAGAGAAAAACTTGCATCTCAGGGTTGTTTGTAAAACCAAGAAGAATAAATTCAGTGACTCTGGTGTGATTTTCACAAATCATATCTTAAAATAGTTTCTCTCTAAGAATCAAAGTATGTGCATCAAAAGATGGGTAGATATAATTTTAAAAATATCAATACAATCCATACATATATCTCTGTTTTCAATTGCCTTACATCATTCTATTTCTTTGAAGCAGAGAGAATGTTTACAATAAGACAGAAATCACTGAAAAAGAAATATTTTGCATGAGTCCTACTAATTGCTTATCACCTACATGAGTTCTTCTCTCAACAGGGGTCATAGTCTGCAGTGCATATTCTTCATCAGAGCCATGCTATTTTTCAGAATTAAGTAGAAAGAGTTAGAAAATAATCAAAATAGAATCATCTACTAATTTTATTATATTATTTTATTTTAAACTGTTATATTAAAGATAAATCCAGGGTGCAAAATTATGGGATGATTTGACTTTTCTGATGCTTGATTATATAAGTTAAAAGTTTTATTGCATAGGATATACTTAATACCATCATCCACTATATATATATATATATATATATATATATATATATATATATATATATATAAAGATGCACATATACATATATGTTCATATGAGAGAAACAGTAAGTAAAGAGAAGCAAACAAATAAACATAACATATATAATGATTTTGGTGCTTTTTTGTCTTCATTGGCCTGCTGATTTATGGGATTTTTGATATTGTCTCTTGAACCATAATTTGACCATAAGTTGTCCATTTCTTATTATACACATGGTCATATCATTTGAGTTCGGCTTTAAAAAGAACAACTTTGAACCAATATGATCTGAAAAGGAGAAGTCTTCCTTCTAACGCTCATCTCAATTCCTATCCATTAAAATAATTCTGCTCCCTCCAGGAGACAATGGTAAGATATGTACACAGATAATAATTTAATTTTAAAAAAAGAACCCCCCCCCAAAATAAAGTAAAATAAAATAATTCTGCTTCCCACTGTGTTGAGACTGTTAAATTAACATGTATTAGCTAGAGCCCAAGGGTGTAGGATGGTAAGCCATGCTTCAACAAAAGACCACAAGAGAAACTGAAATACAATTTATTATGCACAAATCCTGGAGGAGATACATGCAACACTTCAAGGGGCTAAACAGGGAAGTCGAGGCAAGTTGTGAGACAATACCTGGGGCACAGGCCTTTATTAATGTCCCAGGGTGAAGTTATTTGGAGTTGTCTGGCTAAAGCTATATAGGGTCAATTCTAATCAAAAAGAGCAAAGTTTTTATTTGCTCCCCAGGGATTTTATATAAAGGGTACATAAGGGCAATTGAGGAAGTCATGCCAGAAACTTAACATTTATAGGCTGTTATCTAGTGCATGTTTCAAGGGAGAGGCTAATCTGAGTGCAGGTCCCCCTGCAGGCCACTTGGCTTCACAAAATGGACACCAAGCCAGCATTATTATGCAGTAGTCAGCTAAACTCTCAACGGGCTCAATTATCTCAGCTGCATGGTCCGAAGTGGAGGCCAGTCATTTTTTATTGTATACCCAGTAAAAAATCCAGTCAAAAAGTACTAATTCAACTATTACAAATTCAAATATACTATACCTTATTTAAATTATTTTTAAATAGAAGTGGAATTATACAAATATTTTCTATACAGGTCTTACTTGCAACAGCATATCAAACATTAGCAGCAATCACAGAAACCTATATGGAAAAAATAATTATTCATAATGCTACACTGTAGATGAGGTGAATGGTGTTTCATTTTTTTCAAATGCTAGGGTTAGGTAAATATTGGATAAGGGAATATTTTATGATACATTTATCAAATTTAATTCAGAAACTTTTGTCAAAGTTATATTTGAAATAGATTTACCCAATGAAAGTAAAAATATAGAAACTCACAGCTTGTAGATCCATACTGAAACTAGTGACCCATATTTTAATCCTACTCTTAAAAAATATGGTCTTTGGTAATATCTCACCTGTTTATTTTGTTTACTGGAAATTCTCAAATCAATGTCCTCAATAGCAAAAGGACACTCTGGTGATCCCAAGTTATTATATCATATCTTTAGAAGTCTCCGACTGTTGGGTAACAGATGTTTTAATAATTATGACCATTACCCTCTCACCACAATTGCAAAACCTGCTTCAGTACCATCCTCATCATCAGTAATAGCAACAACAACAAATTATTCCTGGTATATTTAGCAAAACTTATAAAATGATTTGTATTCATTATCTTTTGCAACAATTCTAATCTTGTTATGGCTCTAAAAATAATCAATCATTTATCTTGAGGGAAAAAAACCCACAAGAGTTAATGAAGGTATCAAGAACATATTGCAGGCTAAGAATTTTTAGTGTATTCCTAAAATGCTTTAACCACCGCTTCTCAGAGAAAATTGTCAGTTTCTTGATAACTAGTATTGCACATTTTCTACCTTGTCTGAGTACATTTAATTAAATAAAATTTTGTAAAACTAGACATTTATAGTGCCACAAATTATATCTCCAAATATCCTTCTCAGTCTTTCTATATCCTAAAAAAACCTACTGATTATTTTGCATATATCCTCTAAAAAAGGAATTCATCATCAGCAATGATGTTGCAATAACTACCATGGGTTTATACTTATGTGGTTTTAAAATAAAAAAATAAATAAATAAATAAAATTAAAAAAAGAAAGAAAGAAAAAAAAAAACTTTGCAGACTGTGGTTGAGTTGTATGAATACTACATAGCTCTAGATAATGTACAAATTTACATGTTGCATAGAATTTTAATAATTTAATGATATTTACTTAAGTTCTAATTCAGTTAGCTATGTTTTAATAAGGCAAATAATTTTTCTTTCCCATTAAACAGGCCAACTTCAACATTTTCTGAGAAAATAGACTTTACCTCTCATTTCAGCTAGCTTTATTGCAAGTATATGTTTTCTCATAAGAATGATTATGGATCAATCCAATTACATCACCAGTATTTGGAATACAATGTGAAGTTAAGATCATCTCTAGCTTTCTGTAACTTAAACATCACTTTAACAACCATAAATATAAGTAGTAAAAATTGGAGATAAAATAATCCCAATACCTGAATTGAAAATACTCTAACATATGTTTATAATCCAAAGCATTTCTTAATTCACAACTATTGTTTTTCTGATACACTTTTATTCAGCAGTCTAGTGCTTTCTAGAGAGAATAAGGACTTCATAATTTTTATTTTAATAAAGCATAAATTTGATTCGTTTCCCATAAGACAAGTTTCCATATTTATTTTTTTAAATTGTTCTTGTTATACACAGATGCACAGATAAAAATAGTTTGTTTTTTAAATGAGAAAAAATAAATCATAAAGAAATACTGGTATATGGATATATCTTACCAAATAAAACCCCATAATTCTTCCTTAATGAGAAGTTTAATGATTTTTTAAAAGATAAGTAAAATTTTGTAAGAATTGTTCTTTGATCTATAGATTATCTCAAATCTTCAGAATTAAGCAAATGCTTTAGGCAGACTAATCTGCTTTGCCTTGATACTAAATGTTGATTTATTTAAGTAGTATTATTTAAAAGTGTGACTGGCCTTGGGGAAATGATCCCTGGGACATTAGAAGGAACTACTGTTAATTAGACAACTATTTTTATTTCATAAGGGAGAATATAAAATTTTAATGGAATTGTCTATATTTTCTTTAAGTCATAATGATTAAAATTTAATGTGTTTCTCAATATTAGATATTTTGTGGTAAGTCTATTGTGCACACGGGTCAAGTCCTTGGGATTACAACTATTAATATGCCAAAACTTTGTGAGGAACATAGGTTTTAATTTTCTTTATAAGAGTTTTGTATTGTCCAAATCGGTTTGGCTCAGTGGATAGCGCATCAGCCTGCAGACTGAAGGGTCCCAGGTTCAATTCCAGTCAAGGATATGTACCTTGGTTGCAGGCACATCCCCAATAGGGGGTGTGCAGGAGGCAGCTGATCAGTGTTTCTCTCTCATTAATGTTTCTAACTTTCTATCTCTCTCCCGTCCTCTCTGTAAAAAATCAATAAAATATATTTTTAAAGAGTTTTGTATTATTTGTGATATATATTTTTATCCAGTATTGATAAGAGAAATTTATGCCATGCCCTTAAGACAAATGGTTTTGAATTTCATTTTTTTAATTAATTTCTATTTTTTATTATTTTAAAATATATGTTTTAAGAATAATATTTCTAAATTATTAAACACAACAAGATAAACTGGTAACTGGCATGTGTTTTATTGTTGTCTTATACCTTAAATAGTTTGGCCATTGGTTTATTTTACTATGAGATACATATATTGTTTCATAGAAGCAGTACCTTATATTATCTAACATAATTAGTATTATAAACAAGTAAGCATTTTCTCTTTCTTTTTAAATCAATGGAATTTCTTTATAATATAATAATTTTATAAATTAAATGTATAGGAGTGACATTGGTTAATATGATTATACTAGAAGCCCAGTGTACAAAATTTCTACACTGGAGTGAGGGATCCCTCAGCCCAGCCTGCACCCTCTTGCCGTCCAGGACCCGTTGGGGGAATGTCTGACTGCCGGCTTAAGCCCACTCTCCGTGGGCAGTTGGACATCCCCTTCACAGTCCAGGACGCCTCGCTCCTTACAGCTCGCTGCTCCTTACCACTCAGCTTACTGCTTCTTAGCACTGCTGTGGAGGCGGAAGAGGCTCCCGCCATCAACACTGTGCTGGCCAGCCATTAACCCAGCTTTTCGATGGGAGGCACTCCCCCAGAGGGAGTGCACTGACCACTGGGCGTCTGCCCCCTGGTAGCCAGTGCGCATCATAGGGAATGGTCTTTCTGGTTGTTCCACCGTAATGGTCACTTAGATTTTTATTATTTAAACTAGAGACTCTACTCATGCACGGGTAGGGTCCCTAGGCCTAGCCTGCAATCAGGGCCATCTTCTGCCTGCTCACCAGTCCCCCAGTCTCACCCCGCCCCCTCCACCCATCCAGGTTGGCTGGGTGATCGATCTGAGCCTATG